AGGCTGGTACAATTAAATTTAAAGGCATCTGGATGGATATATGAATAGGAAGGGGTTAGAGGGATATGAGCCAAATGCTAGCAAATAGGACTAGATTAATTTAGGACATCTGGTTGGCATGGATGAGTTGGACCAAAGGATCTGTTTCCATGCTGTCCAACTCTATGACTCTATGACTCTACTTAAAGGGATAGAAAAGGTAGATTCAATTAAGATGTTTCCCTGGTTGGACAGTGTAGAATCAGGGGCCACAATTTAAAATTAAGAGGGATGCCAGTTAGGACCAAAATGAGAAATGTTTTTACTCAGAGAGCTGTGACTGTTTGGAATGCTTTACCATAGAGGGCTGTGGAAGTTCAGTCTTTGAGTATATTTAAGCTAGAGGTTGATAGAATTATGGAGACATGGAAAATAGGAGGAGGCATACAGCCCTTCAAGCCTGGTCTTCCATTCATTATTATATTGGCTGATCATCCAACTAACTATCCTGTTTCTGCTTACAGTCATAGAGTCATAAAGATTTCCAGCACAGAAACAGGCCCTTTGGCCCAACTTGTCTGTGCCGCCCAGTTTTCACAATTAATCTAGTCCCATTTGCCTGTGTTTGGTCCATATCAAACCTATCCCATCCATTTACCATCCAAATGTTTCTTAAATGACGAAATTGCACATGCCTCCATCACGACATATGGCAGCCTGTTCCAGACACGCATTACCCTCTGTGTGAAAACATTGCCCCTCTAGACTTTTTTGTTTCTCTGCCCGCTCAAGGGAGAAGCTTTTCACCATATCCTTTGATCCTTTTAGCTCCAAGTGCTATAGCCAAGTCCTCTAGAAATCATACTGTGTTTTGGCCTCGATTGTTTTTTGCGTTAGCGAATTCCACAGGCTCACCACTCTCTAGGTGAAGAAATTTCTCTTCATCTCAGTCCTAAGTGGTTTGCCCAAATCTTTCGACTGTGACCCCTGGTTCTAGACTCCCCCACCAATGGGGACATCTTCCTGCATCAACGCTGTCTAGTCCTGTTCGAATTTTTTAGGTTTCTATGTGTTGCCCCTCATTCTTTTGAACTCCAGTGAATATAATCCTAACTGATTCAACTTCTGCTCAAATGTCTGTCCTGCTATCCCAAAAATCAGTCTAGTAAATATTCACTACACTGTCTCTATAACAAAGGCATCCTTCCTCAGATAAGGAGATCTGCAAAAGTCCAGCTGTGGTCTCACCAAGGTCCTGTATAATTGCAGCAAGATATCCCTGTTCCTGCACTCAAATCCTTTCTCTCTGAAGGCCAACATCTCATTTGCCTTCTTTACCGCTTTGCCACACCTGCATGTCTACCTTGTATAACTGGTGTATGTGGACACCAAGGTCTTATTGCACATTCCCCCTCTCAATTTATAACCATTCAGATAGTAATCTGCCTTTCTGCTTTTACCATCAAAACAGATAACCTCACATTTATCCGCAATGACCTGAGGGGAGCCAGCAGGAAAGTAGAGTTGAGGCCCAGAGGAGATGATTGTTTTGAATGATGGAGCAGGAACAAGGAGCTGAACTGCCTACTCCTGCTCCTACTTTCTTAGATTCTTATGGGGATAGCATGAGTAAAAAGCATTGTTTGATCATCCATGATCATACTAAACAGGGGACCAGGCTTGATGGGCTGAATGGTCGACTCTTGTTCCTATATTCCTAGAAACAGAAACCTGTGGAAGAGGAGATAACAAGGTGTAGAGCTGGATGAGCAGGCCAAGCAGCATCAGAGGAGCAGGAAGGCTGATGTTTCGGGCCTAGACCCTTCTTCAGAAATTTCCCGCCCCCTTGACCTGTCTGTCCTCCCTGGACTGACCTATCTCCTCCCTACCTCCCCACCTACACTCACCTTTACTGGCTCCATTCCCGCCTCTTTGACCTGTCTGTTTCCTCTCCACCTATCTTCTCCTCTATCCATCTTCTATCCGCCTCCCCCTCTCTCTCTATTTATTTCAGAACCCCCTTCCCCTCCCCCTTTTCTGATGAAGGGTCTAGGCCCGAAACGTCAGCCTTCCTGCTCCTATGATGCTGGTTGGCCTGCTGTGTTCATCCAGCTCTACACCTTGTTAACTAAAATAAAACTGATGTTTTATCCAGCCATGTCTCACTTTGGCTTCTGACTTGTCCAGTATTACCACCAGCTGGACTCATTACACCGCCCTTTCGAGAATGTCCAATTTTTATTCAGGGACAACAACACAATGAACAATGTTGGACTCCACAACAGAAGTGTGATTCAATCCACCACATTACAGTTGAGCCAGGAAAGTACGAATTACCAAAGCAGAATTAATATGTACATAACATAAGAAATAGGAGCAGGAGTAGGCCTTTCGGCTCCTTATACTTCCTTCCTGCCTTTCAACAAAATCCTGGCTGATCTGCTCAGGCCTCAACTCTTGTTTTGTGTCAGGTCCTCATAGCCCTTAATTCCCTGATATTTAAAAAAAGTATCTACATCCTCTTTAAACACCTTCATTGATCTAGCCTCCACAACTCTCTGCAGTAGAAAATTCCAGATATTCACGACCATCTGGGAGAAGAAATTCCTTCACATCTCAGTTTTAAATGAGTGCCCCCTTATTCTGTAACAATGTCACCCCTCCTCTCAACATCCACCCTATCAAGCTCCCTCAGAATCTTGTATGTTTCGAAAAGATCACCCTGGGTGTTCTAAATGCCAATGAAGAAAGGTCTAATCTGTTTAGGCATTCTTGATAAGTCAACCCCTTCATCCAGGAATCAGCGTAGTGAATTTCTTTTAAACTGCCTCCTATGCCAGTACACCCTTTCTTAAATACGCGGAGCAAAACTTATACAGAACTCCAGGCGCAGCCTCACCAACACATTGTACAGTTGTATAAAAACATCCCAGTTTTTAAACTCCAACCTCTTAGTAATAAAAGCTATTTGCCTTCTCAATTACATTTCAAGTCTATGGTGATCTTTTGGAGTGCTAACTGTTTCTCTCTCCATAGATGCTGCCAGCTGCATTACATTTTTCCAGGACCTTTTCATTTTATTTCAGTTTTTGAAGAAATTTATAAGGCAACCAACCTGAAATTCACAAAGACAGGCAGCAGATAGATCCTGTAGAAATGACATCGTTCAACCAACCATTCCATTATAGGGGTGCTTTCTATTCCATCTTTTTCATACACAGAGGTAACCTGAAAAAAAAGCATTTAAACAAATAAATTCTACTGTTAGAAATAAATTGAGGTTTATAAAAATGATGTTGATAGTTTGACTGAAGAGATCACAGAACTGGACGGCTGTAAGGTTTGTGTTCAGAATTATAAATAAATGAATCTTTGCAAAGTTAGAATCTTTGCATGTCTGAAATACATCTTAGCTCAACGCAGCCAGTAGCAGACACCTCCTTAAAATGCCAAACCAACTTATACTGTTTCTTGAGTTCAAAAGCGCCAGCGTAGCGGCAGAACCTAATGGGTTATGAGGGGCATGGACACAGTGAGTAAAAAGCAGCTGTTTCCCTTAGCCAAATGATCAATAACAAAGGGGTATAACTTTAAGGTGAAAAGGAAGAAGTTTAGAGCGGATTTGAGAAAAGGTTTTTCCACCTAGAGGATGGTGAGGTTCTAGGATGCACTCCCTAGGAGGGGAGTTGAGGTGGGAAATCTCAAAACATTTAAAAAGTACTTGAATGAGCATTTGAAAAGTCATAGCAATCAAGCTATGGACCTGGAAAGTAGGATCAGTGCAGATTTTGAATTGTTTTTGTCAGGGCAGACTTGATCAACCAAAGGGCCTCTTCTGTACTGGATGATTCTGTGATTCTAAGGAAGATTGTAAGGAAGAAAGATGAGAAACATATTCTTATATAGAACATAGAACATAGAACAGTACAGCACAGTACAGGGTCTTCAGCCCACAATGTTGTGCCGACCTATCATCCTACAAAGTTCAATCTGTCATGCATACCCTACATTTTACTATCATCCATGTGCCTATCCAAGAGTCGCTTAAATGTCCCTAATGTATCTGACTCCACTGCCACTGCTGGCAGTGCATTCCATGCACCCACCATTCTCTGTGTGAAGAACCTACCTCTGACATCTCCCCTATACCTTCCTCCAATCACCCTAAAATTATGTTCCTCATAATAGTCATTTCCACCCTGGGAAAAAGTCTCTGGGTATCCACTCCATCTATGCCTCTCATCATCTTGTACACCTCTATCAAGTGACCTCTCATCTTTCTTCGCTCCAATGATAAAAGCCCTAGCTTCCTCAACCTTTCCTCATAAGACCGGCCCTCCAGTCCAGGCAGCATCCTGGTAAATCTCCTCTGCACCCTCTCTAAAGCTTCCACATCCTTCCTATAATGAGGTGACCAGAACTGAGCACAATATTCCAAGCGTGGTCTAACCAGAGTTTTATAGAGCTGCAGCATAACCTCGCGGCTCTTAAACTCAATCTCCCTGCCAATGAAAGCCAAAACACCATGCGCCATCTTTACAACCCTATCAACTTGGGTGGCAACTTTGAGGGATCTATGGATGTGGACCCCAACGTCCCTCTGTTCCTCCACACTGCCAAGAATCCTGCCATTAACCCTGTATTCTGCATTCAAATTCCACCTTCCAAAATGAATCACTTCACACTTTTCTGGGTTGAATTCCATCTGCCACTTTTTTGCCCAGCTCTGCATCCTGTCAATGTCCCGTTTCAACCTACAACAGCCCTCCACACTATCCACAACTCCACCAACCTTCATGTCATCGGCAAACTTACTAACCCACCCTTCCAAATCCTCATCCAAGTAATTTATAAAGATCACAAAGAGCAGAGGTCCCAGAACAGATCCCTGTGAATGAGCCTACCATGGGGAACCTTATCGAATGCCTTGCTAAAATCCATATACACCACATCCATTGCTCTACCTTCATCGATGTGTTTTGTCACACCCTCAAAGAATTCAATAAAGCTTGTGAGGCATGACCTGCCCCTCTCAAAGCCATGCTGACTATTTCTAATCAAACTGTGCTTTTCCAAATAATCATAAATACTATCTCTCAGAAGCCTCTCTCATAATTTGCCCACCACAGAAATAAGACTATCCTATTTACTCACTGATGGAGAGACATACAATGAAGTGAGGAAGCTTCTCGTAGAACCAATGAAAAGGCACCACCGAACCTGTCAGTCACGGTACATAATAGAGCTGATGTTCTCTAAATAGGTTGCATGACACTGATGTGTGCAACTGATACACTGTCTGTGCAGACTGAAATCAGTAATAACTGCAGCTTTCTGGAAAGCATTCCTCAGGCTGCAACCTGTCAAGGAATTAACATTATGCAATTAGGCAGCTTTCTAAAAACCATGGCCCAAACAGAAGCAGCTAGCCTATAGTTTTAAAAAGTTGCTGGGAAATTTAGTACAGCAACCTTTACTGCACACAAAGGGCTGTTGATAATGCCTTCTGCTGTGCAGAGAACGGCACTGAATATTAATCATAGTAACGTCTTCTTGAATATTCAATGTCAACATTTCAGTTTAGGAAAAGGAAAATGCAGTCATTAAAAGGCGACCTTATTTGAAAAGAAACAGTCAATCTTTCTTTGACCTCAGCAGGCTGTGTATGAAATAATTCAGGATTTAGATCTACACAGATAGGTCATTAACACAATGCAAATCTGCTGCAATGAAACTCATTATCATTCCAAAAGAAAATGGGCTACATTATCATTCCCGTATTCCGTAATTATTTTTATTTCTAAACTCGTTCGGCACAAACAGCTTATTGGAATAATCAGATGTCAATAGAGTCATGCATTCCTCTATAAATTGTTGAGCTATCCAGGCCTTGAGATTCCTGTCTTCAACTAGTGTTTAGTTAATCCTGGTCAAGGTGTGCAGATAAGACCACTCATGTTCATTTAATACGATTATTAAAAATATGCATGCTATTATGAGCTTCCTCTACATCAGAATGGGCCTTCAGACTTTCATTATCTTGCAACAGGATACTAATTGCCCGTTTAGCTGAAATTTTTGCAAGACAAGTTCAAAGGGCTTTTTCCAAAAGACCTTTGTAACAAAATCTAATTGCATAATTCATGTCCACACAAAAAGCACTCAAGAAGAGGCATCTGAGTGTCTCAAACCACATCAATGAAAAGGGTAAAATGTATCAAATAATCATCATGACCAATGTCCTCAAATAGAAGAGGTGGAAAAATTCAAGTGGAATCACAAGCGAAGGGGTTCATCTGTGATTCTAGATAAATGCATGAGATTACATACTTTGCTTCTTTTGTCAAAATACTAGAAACAATTTAGGATTAACAAACTAATCAGATGCAGTAATGAACACAAAAGTGGTGAGTTTCACTGACAATGAGAAGTACAGATACTCTTAAATCAACCTGGCCAGAGATGTTAAAACACACCACTGGAGCAGGTGAGCTTGAACCCAGGCCTCCTGGGTTAGAGGTAAGATCATTAGATCATAAGATATAGGAATAGAAATAAGCCATTCGGCCAAGCAAGTCTGATCCACCATTCAACTGGCAGATATGTTTCTCAACTCGATTCTACTGCCTGCTCTTCTGACTAATCAAGGATCTAGCTACCTTTGACTTAAACATGCTCAATGACTTGGCCTCCATAATGTTGGACTGGGGTAGACAAGGTCAGAAATCACATGACACCAGGTTATAGTCCAACAGATTTATTTGAAAACACAAGCTTTCGAAGCCTCACTCCTTCTTCAGGTGTTGCAGAACACCTAAGGAAGCAGTGAGGCTCCAAAAGCTTGTGTTTTCAGTCCACCTGCTGGACGATAACTTGGTGTTGTGTGATTTCTGACCTTGGCCTCCACAGCCTTCTGAGGAAATGAGTTCCACAGATTCACTATCCTCTGGCTGAAGAAACTCCTTCTCATTTCAGTTCTAAAGGGTTGTCTCTTAACTCCGAGTCTGTGTCCTCAGATCCTGGACCCTCCTACTGGTGGAAATACCATCTCCGTCTTTCACTCTATACAGGCCTCAGTATTCTGTAAGTTTCATTCGGATTCGCCCCCATCCTTCTAAACTCCATGGAGTACAGAACCAGAATCTTCAACCGCTCCTCATAGGACAAGCCCTTCATCCCTGGGATTATTATTGCAATCCTCCTCTGGACCCCCTCCAAAGCCAGCACATCCTTCCTTAGATCTGCAGCCCAAAACTGCTCACTATATTCCAAATGTGTTTTGACCAGAGCTCTGTACAGCCTCAGCAGTACATCTCTGCTGTTGAATTCCAGCCCACTTGAAATGAATGCCAACATTACATTTGCTTTTCTAACTGCGAACTAAACCTGTGTTAACCTTAAGAAAATCCTGAACCAAGACTCCCAAGTCCCTTTTTACTTCAGATTTCCAAAGCCTACCACTACCATTACCAGTGTGTCATAACAACCCTAAAACAATGGGAAATATAAAATTAGATGACTGGGGTATTGCTTTTTTAAAATAAATTATCAGCCTTGATTATAAGAAAAATGGAAAGTTGAGAAGGTCGGAGTAAGTAGGGGATAGAATATTTTGGTGTGAGGATGGAGGGGGCGGGGTGGGATGATGGAGGAACAAGGATCATGTATGGTTTATTTTTCACACATCAATGCAAGTACAGAATTGGACGCATAAACAAAGGAATATAATCCGTGATGTAATTGTGGTCCAATAAGTAATCATACAAGAAGTAGAATAAACGTACTAAAGATCCATTGCACTGTTGAAATGCCTGTTTGAACAATCTAATGGCATTCTCCCCTTCACGCATACCTGTATAACCAATATTGATCAATAAACTGCTGCTTCATTCATTTTACAGGCTACAGCTGACTCGTGGTGTGTGTCTTGAGATACTTCACAACAACTAGGGGTCATGTGGGGCAGTGGTGGAAAACCTATGTTAAAGTCTGACCTGTTCCAGAAGTGTATCATTCTGTTTCTAAACAGGTTCATTAGGAAATTAATTCCATTTCCATTTGCATAGGCAAAAGTACTTGCCACTACCAGGATATCCCAGCATCCCTGGTGCCAACACCATCTTTCAAACCTATCCGTGTACCAAGTGAAGCGTTGGCAGTCCACAGCTGCAGCTCATGGTCAAAATTGCAGCAAAGCAGCCACAAACATGAGACATGGATGGCATGGC